TTATTAGCTCACTATAGTATGCATATGCATCTCATACCTAGTTCAGGAAAACGGTGAAGAGACAAGTATGCTAATATTAGCTACAGGCTTTTTACAGTACAAATTCACTTTCTTTTCACCGTTTTTATACAATACAAATGCAGTAATGGAGCTGTGTCTATTTACCTTGGATGCCTACTTGAAAGTTCAAACACCCACTGTGTTTCACGTCCTGGACAATTTGCTTTAATATGCCATATACTAAAGAAACTTTTCCTTGAATTCACCGCATCATATAAAATAGATATTATGTTTTAGTTTCAGCTGGGATGGAATTGTATTCTTCAGAGTATTTGGTACAATGCCGTGTTTTGGTTCTATGAGAAAACTATGTTTATGATACACCAGTGCTTCTAGTTGTAGCCAAGCAGTGTTGTAGAGAGCCAGGGCCATTTGTTGGGAAGGACCCAAGGAGCTGGGAGGGAACAGGATGAGGACAGCTGACTTAAATTGGCCTAAAGGATATTCCATCCCACCTGACATCACAAGGAAGGATTTTTGAAGGGGTGGGACTTCATCTCTTTTTCTTCTGCTGCTCAAGGGCATAAGCTGGGGGTGGTGAGCAATTGCTTGTATATTAGTTGTTATATACATTCATATCTATAGACAGACTGACATAGATATAATCACTTTTATCCTTTTCCTTTTTTCTATCTTAGTTAATAGTTTTATCTCAGCACACAAGTTCTACTTTGTGTTTTTTTTCTGATTCTTCCTCCCATCCCACTAGAGAGGGGAGGGAGTGAGTAAAGGACTATGTGATGCTCAGCCATCTGCTGGGTTAAACCACAGCAGTCATCTTGGCATCCAGCGTGGGGCTTGAAGGGTTGAGAAAGCAGCAGATCTGATCGCATCACATTAATACAGGATGCTGTGGTAGTTTGATGACTGCTTGTTACAGTGTTAATTTCTTGTCTGTTTATGGAGCTCTTTGAGATTTTTCACTTGAAATTATATTGTTTAGCACCTTGTCTGCTGCTTGTTTTCTCTGCTGACTTGTTTTTCACCTCTGGGGGTTGGATTAATATTTTTGTTTTCCTATGCTGTGTAGCCTTGACTTTGAGTTTTGGAACCCATACAATTGGTAGTATTAGTAATTACACTCTTTGCTTTGTCTCCTTACGGAGCCCAGCTATGGATGAAATAGGGGAGAACACTTCCTAGAGTTCCTCAGCCTCCCTTTCACCTTCTCTTTTTTCCATAGAGCTCAAGAGCTAGCTACAATAGCTCTTGAGAATTCTGAAAATCTGTGGGATATTCAAACCAGCATGCTCCTATTGCTGTGTGTTATGACTGTGTTTCAGGTTATGTTTAAGACTAAATAATTGTTTAAGCATATCACCCAGAGGTTTTCCCTTAGGAGGGGTAGTTCATAGTATGAACAGGTGCTTAGAACAGTGGGTAACCCTAGTGGTTTGGAACATCACTTATGAACACTTGCAGAATCCTAAAAAAACAGTACAGTATTTGGAAAAGGTATGCTGTCACCCTGACAATCCTAACACAAAGCACAGGAATGTGCTGGGACCTGGCCTATGACCACCAAGCTCTGTTCAACACTGCTCAGCATCCTCAAGGAGAGGAGAATACCTCTGGATCTGATGACAATGCAGCGAGCCCTGTGGCTGCTCCAACTTCTATGACAAATCCTGTGGTTACTCCAACTCCTGTGATTGCTCTGCCAACCCTTGCAGTGAACCCTACAGTCACTCCGGCTGCTGTTACAGGCCCAGTGGTTGCTCCAGCTCCTGCAAAGAGCCCTGAGGTTGTTCTGACATTTTTGGCAGACCCTGAGGTTATTCTAACTCTTCTGACGGGCCCTGTAGGTGCCACAACCCTCACAACCAGTCTTGTGGTCACTGAATCCCAGTGGTAAGCCCCACAGTTCAATCAGAGAATCAACCAGTGCTAGTATCTGTTGTCCTTAAAAGAAAGATTTAAAAACATCTACAAAAGTCACATTTAGCAAAGAAAGAAGCTTCTAAGTTCAGAGAAGTAGCTGTGAGTTAAATCACATGTAGAACTAAACCACAAGAAGTTAATATAAATGCTTGTCTGCATGCTTATTTTCAATTCTGTAACAATTTTGCTGATGTGGTAAGTCACATCAAAAACAACCCATGTCCAAATTGGAGAGGATAAGTTCAAGTATGACAATGAAAATATATGTGAACTAAAGATACTATAGTACACTTAAGACTGTCGCAAGATTGTTTGTATGCTATGGGATATATTTTAAGAACTAATGTACACGTTTTTTAACAGCACAGGTTATAATTAATATCTGGCATTTCAAAAATGCTGTGCATGATATATCATCATAATAAGTGCTGATACTGGAAGACAGACTGCCTGTGCTGTGCTCCAGCTTGACAACGCGCTGTTAGTTTTAGGGATTCTCTTCTCCAGGGCTTAACATGAAGCAAACAAAGAATGCTGATGTGTAGACGTCCTACTGGAAGGGGTTTTCAGATTTATGATTGCAGATTAATGCTAAGGATAGCTGGTGTCCCTAGAACTTACCGATGCTGGGAAGACTGAGGACAGTGGTAGAATTTCTGATACTGTTCACTAGCTTTTCTGCAACTTCAGACACAACCAAACTAACAGCAATTCATTTTTTCAGTTGCAAGTAATGGAATGCTTCCTGATATATTTTTTTCAGAGTAGAAGGTGGATGAAGTGTGAATGTCTGTCTGCTACATAATCAATAGAATTAAAATCCCCAGCCACTTATTTCCGGTTAAGTGATTAAAATCCACTTTGTACGCAGTTTATGCTGGCCATACTGTTCCTTTGCAGCAATATTTCAAGGTAATTATTAGGTAGTTTATAAAGTACTTGGTATAAATGTTCAACATAAATCTTCATAAGCTCTATTTTAATAGTTTTATTCTGTTCAGAGGGCAAATGTTGTTGAGCTTTGACTGGCCCTCTTGTACCCCAAACTTAGGCAGCCGTAGACTTTCAGCTTTTGAAAGGCATGTTTTTCCTAATATTTAGAGACAGTAATGGAATGCAGCATAAATTCTCTCGGATTCTACTCCGATTAGTGAAGTGTAAGTGGCACAAAAGATTTCATCTTTTAACCGCCTTCCTGCACATGTATTTCCTGCAGAGAAGAGAAAGCTCAGCTGTTTGCTCAATCTTCTCTAATGAGCCTGCACACGCATGAGATTTCATTTTTGAAATCTTACTTTTATAGATTGAGTCCTAGGGTTAGTATATAGTTTCAAATTAAAGTTGAAATTCAATCTTTGCCACTCCTTCCTCATCGTTAGGCTTATTTGCATATGAAATTTAATAATCCATCTGAAGAGAGCAACTTCTTTCAGGCAAAGTTGGCCCTGGAAGATACATAGCTACAGTTTTAGTACAGACTTAGTATTGCTGATACCATGATGATTTAAAGGGATGGGATTTATTGAAAGAGTTGCTGACTTTTATTAAATCAATAGAGAAAGTTGGAACAAATTGCAAGCACACAAGCCTGAAAAATGTTATTTTGAGCGTCAACGCTTGTTCTTTTTCTCCACAGCTGTACCACTTGCTATTTTCCCCTAGGCATTTTATCTAACTGAAATTGGTGATGTTAATTTAGGTGGAAGTAGATTTTGTCTTACGTGTTTATTTTTTCCTGAGATTACATACTTTTTTCTTCGATGGTTTAACCAATATTTGAAGGAAGTTACAACAATTGCAGCAAGGAGGGTGTCAGTTTCTTTACGTAAGTGACAAGTGATAGGATACGAGAAAACGGCCACACACTGAGTACCAGGGGAGGTCTAGATTGGACATGAGGAAGAATTTCTTCATGGAGAGTGTGGTCAAGCATTGCAGTGAGCTGCCCAGGGATGCGCTGCATTCCTCATCCCTGGAGGTATCTAAGAGATGTGTGGACATATCACTGGTTTAGTGATGGGACGGTGTAGGTCAGGTTGATGGTTGGACTCAGTGGTCATGAAGGTCTTTTACAACTTAGATGATTCTGTGGTTCTATCATTTGTGATCTTCCTTAAGTTTTGACACCAGCGTATCCTTGATTGCTGTTCTTATTGTCATGCAGATACAATTGCACACCTTTATTCTCAGGTGAGCTTAGTCTTTATTGAAAGACAGACCAGAGTTCTCCATCAATTTCCAAAGACATTGTGTCATATCCAAAAAGATTTTGGAAAGCATAACACATACTAAGTTGAATAAACTGTCGATTGCAGAGCACCTGATAGCTTCCATGCTTTGGTACTTTATGATGACATAGCATTAACGCCTTATTTAATTAGTGTTCTGTCAAAGAATTTTCAAGTAGACATCTCTCTTCTTCATGCAGAAAAAAAAATACAACAATGTATATGCCATAGGAACTGTACACTGTTTAAAAGTATTTGCAGCATATCAGACAAATTCCAGTGCTCTGCAAAATCCTCAGACAAGAGCCTGGTTATCTGGAGTGATCTGTTTGTGTGACTTGTTCAGTTACTGGCAAAACAGATATTTGAAACCGATACATGAAACGACACTTACTTTAAAATCGATGTGTAAAACATCAATTCTTAGAAACCTATCAAAAGCTCTAGCTTTGCAAAATACATTATTCTGCCAATAAAGCTGACTATCGCAGGAAAGAACATATTCATTTTCTTAATTTCACCTATGTCATCTAATAAGCCAAGATCTTGTTTAGCACTTTGCTAAACCTAAGTAGCTGTTGTCCATTTTTCTCCTAAAGATGAATCTCCTGGGTTTCAGATAAACTATGAATGCTTATAGTTCCTTTCCAAAGTACACGAGAAAACAACGCCATTCTTCACACTTGTATGAATTAATCCTAGAATTAAGTAGTAGTTATTGTTTAAAAATAAGAATAAACTTTTCTCTTAAAGCAACTCATTTATAAAGATTTATGATTTTTTTTTTAAAATGCTCCTTGTTTTAAAATAGTTTTCTTATTTACTTTCTAGTTCAATTTTGTTGGGAAATTGCTTGGACCAAGAGGGAACTCCTTGAAGAGGTTACAAGAAGAAACAGGTGCAAAAATGTCTATCCTGGGAAAAGGCTCCATGAGGGACAAAGCTAAGGTACTGTCTGGATTCTGATTGCAGTTAGTGTTGATACATTTGTGCCTGAGCAATTTTCTTACTAATGACTCAATAGAATTAAGCTAGATTCTGATTCCAAAAACTTGTTACTTTAATTGCTGTCTTCTCATATAATCATATAAGACCACAGTTACTGTTACTGCCACTGTTATTTAAATAAAGTTAATTTGTTCTGAGAAAAGCTTATTTCTCCTGAGAAAGTTTAGCTTGTTGCGATTGCTGCTGTGATGTCAATGTACACAAATAGATTTTCTCCTTTGTTTCTTTAGGCTTGTTCTTATTGTTTATTTGGATGCCACTTTTCTAAAAGGTTGAATATTTATTCAGGGCATAGTTTAAAAAAAAGATTATTAAGTGAAATTTTACTTATGTGTGTTTAAAAATGCACTGTAGATAAAGGAAAAATTCTGCATTTGAAATCGTGGCCTGGGTATTGCACGTCAAGTAATTATTTGTACAATCAAGAAGTTTAATACATATGCAAGTTCGTATTGTATTGTGACTCTTACTTTATATGCTATGGAACAGCAACATTGCAGTCAACACAGAAATAATGACTGTTAATTTCAGTGAACTGTAGATAGCCTTTAGTAATGCTGTGCATTATTTGGTTTTCCTTTCTGTCACGTTTGTAATTCATCTCAGTAGCTAAAATAATGAAAGAAATAACTTGCTAGAGTGAAGGAAAAGCTAATCAGGATTTTACCATCTTTATGGTTGTTATTATTTGGCCTTGGTAATGAATATCAACAGTCACACTTGCATTAGGAGATCTCCAATGGCAATATTAAAAATAAAACACAAAAAGACAAATTAGGCACACAGAGTGTATTTCATTTTTTTCAGCGATTTCTTTATGACATTGGGCATATTGACACTTCAATTATCTATTTAACACTATATTTTATGATAATAAATGCTGATTACATAACATATTTTATTTTTAGTTAGTGACAAGTACAATATTTTATGACTTCTGGCTTACTTCTGGAATTATAGAAAATGACTGCCTGGACAAATGAATGTGAGTGCTGCTAAGTGCAGTAATTTGCATCTGTACTGTGTCTGCCAGCTCCATTCTCAGCCACCCACTCAGATCATTATTGCCAAAGGCAGCAATTGCCCAGACGGAGAAGTGTGAAGAGCTTGTTACTAGATAAAGAGGTTTAAGCACATAAATAGATGAAGTCCTCTGATTTTGAGATTGGTCAACTCTTCTTATCACCCTGTTTAAATCTTATTGTAACAAACAGTGCCATCATGGCAGTTATTGTATTCACTCATGAGTATGTCATCAGAAACAAAACTCAGTTGTTATTCTTTTCTCCTCTTCATACATTAGTTAGGACTAAAAAGCCATATGAAGTTAAATGTGAACTTCATTGAACGTCATTCATTTGAGAAAGGTGTAAAATGTGAACTTCTGTAGTAAAACTGTTAAATATGGTAGTGGTGGAAGCAACTTCTATAGAGAAGGCCTCATAAGCAACTGTTATCTGAATCCAATTTACACATCACTGACTGAAAAGAAAATTAACCTCTTGCAATTACAGTGACAGACAGGAATTATCTGATTTGGATACATCATTGTTGCTGGTTCCTAGGAAAAGACACTGAGAATGTCCATGGGCTGGATAATAATAGCAATTAGCATTTAAGAGAGGATATTTTTGGTTGAGAACCTGGTAAATCTTACAGAAAATACATTTAACTGTGGGCATAAATAATGGCCTAAATTGCTATGTCACATACATACATACATACATAATACAGAAAGGACATTGAGGTGCTGGAGCAGGTCCAAAGAAGGGCAACAAGGCTTGTGAAAGGCTTGGAGAACATGCCCTATGAGGAGAGACTGAAGGAACTGGGGCTGTTTAGTGTGGGGAAAAGGAGTCTGAGAGGAGACCTTATTGCTTTCTTCTAACACCTGGAAGGTGATAGCAGGAAGAGTGGGGTTGGTGTCTTCTCACTGGTGACAGGTGACAGGACAAGGGGAAATGGCCTCAAGTTGTGCCAGGGAAGGTTTAGGAAAAGCTTCTTTACACAGCATTGTTAAGCACTGGAATAGGCTCCCCAGGGAGGTGGTTGAATCACCATCCCTGGATATGTCTAGAAACACATTTGGACGTGGTGCTCAGGGACATGATTTAGTGGAGGGTTGTTAGAGTTAGGATAGTATGGTTAGGTTGCAGTTGGACTTGGTGATCTTAAAGGTCTTTTCCAACCTGAGCAATTCTATGATTGTAGCATTCTATGGAAAATGCAACTTACTCTGATTAAAACAGTTTTCTTGCCATGAAACAAGCTAGCCTCATTTACACGGCTTTTTTGTTTGTTTGTTTACTGATTTTTCCTTCTGAAAGAATTTTCAGAAAAAATCTGTGTAATTTCTCTCTGTAAACTAGAACATCCTTAAGACTCTCCATGGTATGCCAAAGGCGGAACCAGCTCCCAGGCAGACTGCCCACATGCAGGCTTTTCTCCTCTGGTAAGCTGGCTGCTCAGCTGCATCAGAGCAACAGAAGCTGAGTGTCAGTAATATTCTTGATGGAAAAGCTTAAATAAATTTATACCCAAAATCCTTACTTAGTGCTCAAAAAGAAGTGATACACCAGTTTGTGGAGGTGCACTTTCTAATTTTGGAAACCTTTTATTAAAGGAGATTTATTTCATTTTCAGAATTTCCTTATTCTTAAAAAAGAAATCTGTGTGTACATTTCAGAGGTTAAAGAACTGGGGCTGTTTCCTTTCCAAGCTTTACACTATTGATGAGGGTGACTTGAGTCCTTTGCAGAGCCACTGTGTCTACAGTGCATGAAAAGGGCGAGTTAGTTTGAAAAGGCAATGCAGGTTAATTAACATGAATAATATCAGCAACTCCACCAAGCTTATATACATCTCTCAGAAAGTTGTGTTAGAAATTTCTGAAGAGATGCCTCAAAATAGCTGCAGCAGTTTTGCAGAACACTGCTGCAGATATAATGAAAACTGCAGTGATTCTTCTAGATTGCTGTGGCTAATGTGAGTCCCTAAATCTTTGTGCTTAAGCTAGTGCCACTGGCTCAGCAGAAGTCTATTTTTCTATAACAGATGCAACCCAAGAGGAATGATCCTACAGAGTTCTGGCAGAAAAAACATCACAAGATGCCACATTACCTCTAGGCACAATAAAAGATGATGCTGAACTTTTGCTTCTTCTTCCTTTGATTTGTACTTTCAATGTTGACTGCAGCTAAACCTTGAAATACTTGTTAGTGGAATAACTCCATTTATTTCTAAATCACAGGTATATTATTGTTTAACATGATGAGCACGGTCTTGGTCATTGAGAGTTGTGCCCATTGTAAGAGCATAGCCAGTTTCCAGTGTGATCTTTGGACAGGATCAACTCTCATCACCTTGATAACTGATACAATGCCATTACAGTTTGTCGTTACTATAGTATTACTGTATTGTAAATATGCAAAGATATTCTTCAGAACAGGTGCAATTGCTTGGCTTTTGATTCTTTTCCCTGTCTTTGTCTTTTTTTTCCAAATAGCATTGGACACAATAGTAAAGGTAATCAAACTAAACTGAAGAGAAATCTCATTACAAGTGGAATGAATTTATTTCTTTCATACTTTGATGCACATTGGCTCCTGTTCAGCCATACAGTGAATGCTTTCCGCTATGCCATAAAATAAGTAAGTTAAAAAAAAAAACAAACATAAAAATGTATGCTGTGAGGTGAAATAGCTTTTTAAAATATGCTGTAACAGAAAGAGCATAGAATTTCTTTAAAAGAAGCAGGAAAAAATGTAGCATCTTCTTAAATACTTCTGTTTCTTGTGCAAGGTACCTGAAAACAGATACAAATAAGAACTTTTCTCAGGAGAAAGCATAGTCTAAGGGGTTGCACTATTTTTTCAAACCTGCCACTTCAGTTTAAAGCTTTACTGCTGCTTGTAACATGAACCAAAAGCTAGTTTTGAGTTTCTGCCCATGCCTGCATCCCCAGATCCCCACCAGCAGCCATTTACGGCTCAGAAATCACGTGTGCAACTTAGCCCTTTTTACTAGATTCCTGTTTCTTTACTATAAATCACACAGAATTGGAGAACAAACTTGCAGCTTTGAAAACTCACATCAACTGTTCTTCCGTGACTCACTGTTTGCCTACTACTGAATGAACATTTGACTTTCTTCTTCAAGTTTCAATTGTTACTTACAATAGTTACTAAAGCAAAAAAGTTGAATTACGGAAGACTTAATGCACTGCAACTGTCTTCCTCTCTGTGAATTAAGTGTCTTCCAAGGAGGCTCTGGTACCACTGGACAGCAGTTTGTCCTGTTATACAGGATTTCTTGCATGAGCTTCTCTTTTTCAAAAATTTAGGTGTTAAGACTCTGTTGGCAACTGCAAAGAACTGAGCTCACAGAGAACCTATTTGGGTTCAACGAGAAGTATATCATCTTTATTATACGGCTGTTAAAAACCTTAATAACTTTTAAAAGATGTTGGAGATGTGGGAGAATTGGCAGTGGATCCTGGGTCTGTTCAGTGCAGTGTCCTGCCTGCAGTCCTGCAGTCTTTAAATATGGGTTTAAATATCTTACAGGGTTAACTTCACATATGTAATGTTTCTTATACAGTGCCCGATAACTTTGGGGTCTGAACTACAATATATTTTTTCATTAGATCAAGTCTCCCATGAACATAGTGTCTGTAATGATCATTTACGTTTTCGCAGTATAGTTACTTGTGTCATATTTCATTCCAAATGAAAGTGGCCCTATTTTGAGCAAGAATAATTTTGAAGGACCCTAGAAAGTTTAAGAAAAAAAAAATAAAAATCACCTCGTCTTTTGCACAAGGTTTTATGCTGGTGGCATTCCACTCATACCAATGTGGTAGTTCACTCTAGTTAATGGCTGTGGTAGTTCAGCCCTGTTTGTCATCTTGAGATTTCAGCATAGTATATAGCATACTCCAT